AGAAAGGCTAGTTGAAGTCGTAATCCCAATCCGGCCTACATTAAAGGTTGGATTGTTCCTCAAATGGGATTACGACTTAGTATTCAAATTTATTGTTGAGGCAAAAAAATTACGTAAGTGCTTTGAGGAAATTGACGATAAATTCGAATTACTAGCAAAAGAACTTAGTAATGAGGCACCAACAGGGACAATGATAAGGAAGGATAACTTTTATAATAAGTTTATCCATATGAAATTATATAACATACTGGCTCGATGGTCAGCTATATCTGAATATTATAAATAGAATTTTTTTTTATCTGTTATATTTGTTACCAATATTTTTAAATAAATTTCATGAATACAAATGGTTCAAAGCACTATAAAATTATGTTTTTAAAGATTAATAATGAAAAAATTAGAATATTCTATATGCTAATTAAAACTATATTCGGTAATAAAAGCTCTAACGTCTGTCCGGTTTAAAGATCAGATTTTACAATATATAAAATATATATGTTATACGTCGGAAAGAAATTATTGTAGATTTAGAATCCACTTAGGTTAGAACAGAATCCCAAATGTAGTCCAAGCTGATATGAAATTCAAAAGCAACTTTAGTCGATTCTATACTTTTTTTTTTTTTTTTTTTTTGTAAAAGAGGTCATTTCCTCATTCCTTTATTTTATGTTAATATATAATTTACAATTCTTATAAATGATACATTGATCTTTTGTGAAAGGGGGAATAGAGCTAAAGCTACGCTAATTTACTCCAGACCTAAATTTTAGCTAGATAGGTCGTAACCTCTAGACTGTGTTATTTATTTGTGCTGGGGAGTAATTGTGTTCTATATAGTTAGTTAACCATCTATTGTAATTTAGTTGTTGTTTGGAGGTATTGTTTAGATTATTGTTATTGTGTTATTGTGGGTGTTTGGTTTAGATTCGGGTGGTTTTGTGTATGTGATTGCTGTGTTGTATTATTGTGATCGTGTATACTTATTCTTGAAGGACCCCATATTTGGTCGTGGATTTCTTTATTATGTAGTGGTGGAGCCTAGTTGTGTTGTTAGTTGTTGATGTATCTTGGCTTATCGGGAATAGAGTATCTCTGGTTATGACCCCGATGGGAATTTGTTCGTTTATGTGTTTGTTTATGAAGTTGGCTGTAAGGCATTGGTAGGTATTATTGTCTCGCTGCGGGTTTATTTCTTTTATTACGTCTTGTATGATTTGTTGGATTGTTGTTGTATTTGTGTTACAAGTCAGCCAGTATACTGAGTCTTCTATGTTATTATTGTGATATCATGGGCATGTCGCTGAGTTGTGTCTATTGGGGTGTCTGTTATGCAGATTAAGAAGTGTTGGTAGTTCATCAGTTAGTAACTTAATCTTGAAGGATCTAATTTTTGCTTTTGTTGGGCAAGTCGTTCTGGCTAGTGGTTTATCTTCAAAGTTTATGCATTCATAGGTTAGTTGCTAGTTTATGTCTGAGTTGTATTTGGACCATGATTGAATCCGTTTTTGGTATATCCAGAAGTTTATTCTCTTTGCTCTATGTATATCTTTTATCGTTCTTTTTATTAGGTGTGGTATATTGCGAGACATTAGGTGTGAAGTAAAAGTGTTAGATAATATCTTTAAGGGATCAAATTCCATAGAGGTCGGTAGAATAGTAGTTGTTTGTTTTGCTATTATTGTTTCAATCTTTATTGTTGTAAATTTGATAAGTGT